TGGATGCGCAGGGAGTTCTTGCCCAGAACGGAACCATACCGCCAATCCAAACTGTATGCTAATTGTCAATCATCTTTCATATATTTATTTACTTCAATCATACATTTATTTAGTAGGGTGGGATAAATGCAGAGCACTAATTCCGAGTATGGGTCACCATACTTGGCCACATGTCACGTCACTTTCACTCACTTATTTAAACAACTAAATTGTTTTCCCTATACTTCTATTCTGTATATAGTACATTATTTATTTTTTTAATGAATCTGTATATAGTACATTATAAAAAAAATTTCTTATATTAGTGTTATATTCCATCCCTACTGTTTTATTCATATGTATGTCTGCACTATGTCTGTACTTTCTTCTGCACTGGAAGCTCCTGTCGTCGAGTCAAATTCCTTGTGTGTGTTAACATACTTGTTAATAAAGCTCTTCTGATTCTGATTCTGATTTCAATAATACTAAAATAACTTTTCAAATCTATGTATACAAGGTTGCAAGGTTTCAATACTTGAAAACTAGAAATATAAACAATACTAAGCAATATTTAATTATGAGTAAGAGCTTTTTCATTCATGAATCAAACAGTATTGTACGTTTCTCGGTATCAGTGGCTGTGATTGGATCACAAGGCCACAGTAAATCACATGACTGACATTCAGAGCACTTCAGACTGCGAATATGCTGTTTCACACAGTTCAGTAATCAAGACACTAATACTAAATAACTTACATTTACACTCAATTCTGCTGGTCTGTTTTTGCTTCGACAATGAAATTAGATTAAAAATCAATTGTTGAAGGAAACATCACTCGTGTGTGCTCAGAGACTCAACAGCTGATTCTGCTTTGGGCTTCATTTGGAGCGTACATTCATTCTGAAAGTGTTCGTAGTGAAAGCACACCCTTTATTATGACACTTGCCAAAATAGATCACAATGGGTGCTTTACTCATAACAGCTGCTCTTGATAAGCAAAACTGAATGACTTTCCCTTCTTGTGTTGAATGACAGGCTGTGGAAACGGACGCCATGCCCGTCAAACTCTTCTACGACAAATCTCACGATCAGCTGTGGCTGTTGAGCTGGAGAGACCTGCTGAAGTCTCGCTCTACACTGCAGGTGACACTCACAAAGCCTTCACTGTCTACAAGGAAAATATTGTTTCTAGTTTTGGCCTGAATTATAATTCACCCAGATAGTTCCTAAAGACTCTCAAGCAAATTAGTGAGTGCTCACACTCTCTTCATGCCGCCCCACTGTTATGTGTTGTTGTTTTTTTTATTTAATTTTTTTTTATTCTGAGAGTTCATTCATTGAGCTTATGAGGGGCCATTGATCTACTAACCGTCTGTATTTTTGAATGTTTGGTGTTAATGTGTGATAGTCTTTGCTTGACAAATGCATTTCTGCACTGACTGCAGCTTCATAACACATTCAGGTCCTTTTTGACCTGGAAGAGGTACATAAAAAATTCTAAAAATGCTTAGTTTTTAGTAAGGGAACAAAACTTTGCAAATGCATTAAAGGGTTAGTTCACCCAAAAATGAAAATGCTGTCATTAATTACTCACCCTCGTGTTGTTCGAAACCCGTAAGACCTTCGTTCATCTTCGGAACACAATTTAAGATATTTTTAATGAAATCTGAGGGCTCTCTGAAACTCCCATGGACAGCAAGGTAACTACCACTTCGTAACTTTACAGTTGAACCACTGATGTCACACGGACTACTTTGTCGATCATCTTGGTACTTTTCTGGACCTTGAACGTGGTATTTACCTTGTTGTCTATGGGAGGGTCAGAGAGCCCTCAGATTTCATTAAAAATATCTTAAACTGTGTTCCGAAGATGAACGAAGGTCTTACGGGTTTCGAACAACACGAGGGTGAGTAATTAATGACAGAATTTTCATTTTTGGGTGAACTAACCCTTTAGGACTCTCAATATACACAAATTTCTTTTTTCTAAATTTTTTACATTTATTTTTAGGAGATATAACCAAAAAGTTACATGTTTTGTTGCTCTATTTGTATGGAGTACCATTTGGTGTCAAAAATATTTTCGTAAAATTATCTATAAAGTTATATTAAACAACTTTTGTAAAATAGTTATCTGACACATCTCACACTTTTGGCACTGAATTTTGTTTTTGTTCATGTTTTTGACAAACATGGATATGTACGACTATTGATGAACCACTGAAGCATGAAAACCTGATGACTTTTTTCATCTGAAAGTGAATGTTTGTGCAATTAAAATGAATTTATTTTGTCTGAAAAAAATTCAGAGTTTTATTTAGGTTGTTATGATGTTGTTTTGTTAGAAATAAATTGGTAGGTTTCATAAATTTGGACTGTTTTTGAGCAATCATGAGTTCAATGGAATTAAGGAATTAGGGTTAAATCGCAGATTATATGTTCATATACATTTCATAAAATGTTTTATCCAACTAACATTTCTCATTAATACTATATATATTGCATCATAGTTTGTTTGTTTGTTATTTTTTTTGGTTCATTTAATTATTAAAAAAGGGGGTAAATGCAGGAATACCATGGTAACATTCATTTTCACTCATTAATGAGAAGTTTCTGATCTGACACAATATGGTTTTAGCTGAAAAATCTTTAATAATCTTTAAATCTTAAGTTATGACTGTTTTAGAAAATAATGATTCTAACAACCCGAAATGTAAAAATAGTATAGATTTTGAATGCATTATGAAGATTAGTTGCATGTGCATTAACTGCACTGTAACTGCAAATGATTTTCCAAAGTTGTAAACAAAGATTATTGGCGTATAAGACAAGAAAATACGATTTCAGTTTTTATCAAAATTTCATGTTTAATTCAGTGCATTACTTATTGTTTCTTCGTAGTTGTTTGTAAAATTTACGAGCAATTTCTGAATGAAAGCAGTTTCTACACAGTGCAGTTCAGTGTCAGGTAGAGCTCCTGACTCGAGCTGCAGGCGAATAAGACGCTTTCTGCTACATGAAGAAAATCTGCCCGGTTCCCACTTTAGTCTTTGCCAGGTTTGATCTCGGCTGTCCTGTATGTCAGCGCACACGTCTGAGAAACACACAGCCTCAAAGACAGAGCAAATGAAAGGCTTTTTATTTAACAAACAATGTGTAATTCCAACCCCCATACACATGAATAATTCATGTTTTATTAAATAGCGGGAAAGTCCTCAGGTGTGTTTGCTTGTTCAGCATGCCCACAGAGCGCCAGCCGCACAGAATAATGAAGGCGTTCACTATGAATCACTCAGAAATGCTAAAGAGCACTTTTAGAGGCAAGCTGCATAATTGGCTGCAGGGGATATGGATTCACACCACAAATAAATGGCTTGATAATATTCGACTCGTTTCGAATGCGAGTAATTGACCCGGGCACGGGCAATTTGCCAGGCCCGGAGGCAGTGCTCAGCTCGAGAGGTAAAATATCAAACCCATTTTTTTAAATGGCTTAATATTCTTAGTCAAACATCTGAACCTGTTTGTCAGTTCATTAGATTAAACAAATGAGGGGAGATAGAGCCGCATGTGTGCGCTTGGCTCTGATCCTGCACTCATCACACGCATTCACAAATCAAGAACTCATCGTTTGCATTCATAATCATCTGCACTGAAGCCAACAGTGGCATTTTTATCAACTTTATAAGCTCTTTTAATAAAATCGTTGTGAATTTCAAACTATTATTATTTTGGTAGTACTGTATCTGTTGGGTAACAAGTGAATGTACTAAAACCTTTATTAATATAAGGCAAGTCTGAACTTTCTTTGTACAATTTCTGAGTGGTCTGATAGCAATCCTATATCCGCGTTTGAGAATAGTTTTTTTTAATATACGTAAATATTGCTGTAAAGACATTAAATATCCTTTAACATGTTATAAATATAAATATGGCATGGACAATGCCTTTGTGATTATAAATGTGCTTCATTTTAGTGAATGTGCACTCATAGTGTTCTTCAAATTTTAAAAGTATATTTAAAAAACTACTTGCAGATCATGCAATATTAATAAAACATGCACTTAAAGAGAGTTCACTTTCATGTCTGTTTCTTAACACTCTTCAATGCACTTTTTTTTGTATAAATGTGACCGGAGGAGAAACTAGGCAGTATGATACATGATAATTAACTATAAAGGGAGCAGGGAAAACATTATAGACATGATTAAACACTCGGCATGAAGGCTGTATGGCAGTATTACACCACTGCTGAAAGCTGTATTTATCCAGTAAATTCATGAATGTCTTACTATATAATAAAATATCAAAGCAAGAGTTACTGAAGATCTTTGCTTATCGTCTCCTCAGTTTGGTCAGATTTAGCCATGGTTGTAATCTGGGCCTGAAGTTCACTTACCAATGACCAAATGTGAGTAAAAACCAGAATGAAGTGTTACTCGCCAGTTAACCTTTTTATTAACTCTAACAGTGCCTGAGAAAGCAATAAGGCTTAGTATGATTATGAAATCTTAAAAACGGCATTGTAATTATATAAATATGTAATCTGATGTGCTGCGTGTTTCAGAGTGAAGTTCTGTGATCTTCTCACGAGCCACTCACGATAACAGTGTTTTCGGTGTCTTATAACATGAATTTAAAAACGCAACATGCCCCAAACATCTTACCTGGCTTGTAATGAGAATCATTTATAAAACTGTTATCAGCAAAAGAGAAGCATTTCAAAAGAGAAGTTTCTCTGCCGTTTTCTGCCAACATAAAAACCTCTATGGTTTAACATTTGAAAGCAAAGAAAAAACAACCATCGATACTATTATTGTAATTGTACTGTTATATAAAATAATAATAATAATCATCATCATTATTATATAAATAAAAGTTATTAATAAATACTTTACAGTTAATTAATAGTATTAAGTATCAATAATAACAATATTACATAAAAAATACACAAATTACATGTTTTCCCAATTCGTTCTGCCTGTTTTTAATGAAAAATTGCACATACAGTTTCACAGCCTGTACATTTACTGAAGTCACCGCTGTTGGCCCTGGTTGTAATATCTGCTTCTCTTCCATTATTTAAGGTGATCACTTCTGCCAGCACGGTGGAGCAGCGTCAGATCATCCGTACTCCATTTGAAGGAGTGGAGGACTTCTACATCCCTCCCACCAACCTCATTATCACCCACGTAAGGTACGAAACAATCGTCACTGCTCAGCATGCATGACCTCTGTCAGATTTTCCACATAATTCTTCCAAAAATGGATAGCGAGCAAATGACGGTTGTAATTAAAAGCGCAGCATTTAATAAATCCGCAGAAAGATCATTAACCTGTCTTTGACCATTGTCATCTCAGGTTTGGCTTTGTCTACTTAAAATCGGAGCCCGCGGTGCATAAAATTGACCTTGAGACCCTCCGTCTCGTCAAGACCATCAGTCTGAAGAACTACAGCTGTATCCCAGCCAGCATGGCCTACACTCATTTAAGCGGCTACTATTTCATCGAGTGCCAAGTCGAGGACCGTTCGGCCCCGAGCTCACAGCTTCTCATCGACAGCGTAAGCGACGCGGTCATTGGACCCAATCCCAACATCAACGGCCAACCGTTCATCTCTCCAGATGGCCGCTTCGTCGTCTCCGTGGACAAGCGACACGGAAAGCTCCAAGTCCAGACCATCTCCTTCAGCGGCGAGTTGCGGACCGGCCACGAAGCGGACGTCTCGATTCCCCTCGCAGACTTGGAGTTTCAGCCGTCCTTCACGGAGGCCAACAAGTACATGATCGTGGCCTCTTCGGCGCAGGGCTCCAAGCTGGTTTTCTCGGACCTGGCTTCAGGAAGAACGAAAGCCCTCGAGGATGTCAAGGATCCTATTCCAGCCAGCAGCTGGCCTTGGGGAGACGCCAACAGGGTGGTGGTCTCCAGCGGGGTGTTCGGACGCTACTTGGTCACGTCGTCGGCCGAGTCCCTGTTCGTTCTGGACGGCAAACAGAGCGGCCCTCACTGTGAGGTGTCAGACGTCAAGAGAGGGAACACAGTGGTCTGGGTGGGCGAGGTATGAGCGGCGTACCGCGGGCCGGTTCTGCAGAGGATTGCGTCGGCCGACTGGGCAAAAGCTTGGGAAAACCTTTAAGGGATGCGAACGGACTCGATCCTAGTAGTGAGTTAAATGAACACACATGCGGGTTTCTGTATAGGTACACACACATACACACACATTCAACGACAAGAAACCTTAAACAACAAGGGAACGAACGAAGACACCCTTTCAGTGCAACAGTGAACTAATTTGATGATTTTTTGCACTTCCTTGTTAGCAGAAATAGCGTTAAGCAGCAGACAGGTTAGGTAATGACTGAACTATGCACAATGCTTTTTAAAGTTTGAGTGTTTTTCTTTCTTTTTTTTCTCAGTGTGTTCACTTGTTATATATAGTCACTGCAGGAAATGTGTCCGTCAGTGTCATGTCTCATTTTTGTCAATGTATAAAACTGTGTTGTTTGCCTCATCCCAGTGTTTCTGATCACACAATTCAACAGCTTTTGTTTTACAGTTATTAGTACTGTTACAGTAACATTTTGCATTTTCCTTTTTGTAATGAGGTGAGTACTTTCTTCTCATCCTCAGTGCTCTCTGTGTGTGTGTTTGTTTTTGTGGAGCTACACTTTGGGGACACCGTCGCCTCCAAACGTTTGCTAAAGCTGACCTCCCTTTGGGGACAACATATAGGACAAATCCTATATTACATATTTGTTTTTTAATTAAATAATTTCTTTTAGAATTACGGTGTGTGTGTTGGTCAAGTTTTGATCAAATGTCCCCACCACAAGGATAGTAAACCATTGTGTGAAGCAGGAAAACGGTTTAATAAACATACTACATAATGTCTTAATGAAAATGTCCAAATGCAGAGGTTTGTGTAAAGGCATAGGGGATAGAAAATATAATTAGCTCAGTTTAAAAACAATAAAGAAAAAAGGTGTGTGTTGATCTTCTTTTGGCTTTTTTGCATCAATTCTGTCTAAACGCAAACTTTAGTTTCATTAAAGTAGTCCTACATTCATATATTACATTCAAACACCCAGCTAAAGAATAGAATAGCAAATAACAATGAAAGAAAAGTATATTCTTGCTAAATACAAATAGATGGGCAATGAGGTCCACTGTGCTAGATAAAAACTTATCTGGTGCATCAGATGTTTGGAAGGCAACAGAAAAAATTCAGTACATTTAACACACATGAACCAAATTAGAGCACTGTTGCACTGAACACACTATCATCACTACTGAGACGACCGCAAGCACAGCTTTAAATCGCCCTATTTGAGACAAAATGGCTAAATTGGCATTTCAATGTGCTTTCAGGCTCAGTCAGATATGCATGACTACAATATTACTTTAGAAAGCCAGATGGTTAGACCTCAATGAACATTAAACTGGACACAGATACGATCAATTTAAGGCCCAAACAAATCTAATTAAACTCAGTGGGCTAACAATCGCTGAATAAATGTGCTCCGCATACAGTATATTAACTATAGAGTGATTTGAGTTTGTGTCCTTTATGTCTGGTTTTTAAAGGGATAGTTCACCAAGAAATCAAACGTTGCTGTTAATGTACTCACCCTCAGGCCATCCAAAGATGTAGATGACCTTTTTTCTTCAATAGAACAGTAAAGAAGATTTTTAGTGGAAACCGTGGTCCTTGGCAATTCATAAAATCCAAGTCAGTGGATGCCGTCACTTTGGGAGTCAAAAAAAACATATCAGGCAACACAAAATAAAACCCTGTGGCTCCTGATGTTATATCGAGGTCTTATGAAGCAAAATGATCGCTCTGTGCAAGAAACTGAACATGATTTACAACATTACCTGTAATCCAGAGCCTCAGGCAAATGGGGAAATCCGATTCTTTTCCATGAACGGTTTCACTCGGACAGTTTGTTTCAGTGAAGTGGTTCAAATAACTGACCCCCCAGTTCGTTTACGTAATCATGCAATGACGTCACGTATACATGAGCAATATCACACGAGTAGCAGTGCGATATGGCTGTATATTGGCACGACTGTGATTCGGCCGTAGGCCACAAGGTTTATACATCAGTTCGACAACACGAGTCTGCAGATACATAAGAAACAACAACAGAGTGCCTTTAAAAAGCTTCTTTTGTGCGCAGTGCGATATGGCTGTATATTGGCACGACTGTGATTCGGCCGTAGGCACAAGGTTTATACATCAGTTCGACGACACGAGTCTGCAAATACATAAGAAACAACAACAGAGTGCCTTTAAAAAGCCTCTTTTGTGTGAACTACTTCCTTCCATCATGGATTCATGGATTCAAATCTCAAGTTTAACAGCTGAGCCCAAGCCTTTGTTACTAATTTGAAAACATCACTTTAGAACTAGTTACGAAGGAACGTTGAGTTGCTTCATTGAAAGCTTAGTGTATTACTGTACTAAAAGCTCACTGTTTTATGTAGAGTATGAATGTCCACTGAGGAAAGCAATATCTTTGTCGTACTATCCTTTCATCCGTTAAGGGTGATTTCTTACAAATGCGTCTTACAAGGTGTTGTTAGAAGTAAAAAAAAAAACTTCCTTGTTTACAACCCCGTTTCAGTCTCTTTCAATATAAAAGTCTATACTGATGACTCACTCTAATTGCGGAATAATGTAACTAAAATCACCATCACGAACACACACACCGTTTGCCAATATTAAATGCTATAGTTAAATACTACTGTTATTTATATAAAATATTGTTTATTGAATAATTTTATTTAATAAACAACAACAGCCATCGTAAATGTTGAACAAGTACATTCTCACCTAAAAAAAATTTAAAACTACATTTTCGTGACACAAAAACAGTATTATTCATAAAATTATTGTGGATTTGGGCATCCACTATGACACTCGCTGTGAGAAATACTGCCAGTGGAGTGATACAAACAGTGATACGGTTGGAGTTCTGTTCACGATAATATCACACTCCTCTCAGCCAATCAGATTCGAGGACCAGAAAGAACTGTTGTTTAAACAATTATATTATTAAAGCAAACAATAATGATGTGAAAGGTGGCTGTTTTACATGTTTAAAGCACATAACGTGAATAAACATTAATTTCGCCCCTTCATTCAAGTGCTGGGTTCACTCATGTTCATTTCAGCGGCTCATCTGTCTTCGGTCCGAGTCAAACTGTTTCCTCAGTTCAGACTGTTGGAGGAACTGGAGCGCTGAATCAGATCAATTACACCGCCATTTTGGCTCATTTCAGTTTTGATTGAGTAACTTGTAGTTTATTGCACAGATTGTTTTGCTTCATAACACCTCAATATATCATCAGGAGCCACAATAATTTTGTGTTGCCTGATATGCATTTTTTGATTCTCAAAGTGAGGGCAGCTGCTGACTGCAATTTTATGAATCACCAAGGACCATGGTTTCAGCTAAAAATCTTCTTTACTGTTCTACTGAAGAAAGAAAGTCACCTACATCTTGGATGGCCTGAGGGTGAGCAAATTAACAGCAAATGTTCCTCTTTGAGTGAACTATCTCTTTAAGAACTGTGCCAGAAAGCTGGATTTAGTCACAGCCATTGCAATGCTCTTGTAACAGTATACTCAAAACAGTGTGAACGCTGTATATCCGATTTATGGAGGAAATGAATGAAACCGAGTAGAAGTTTGTTGCGCGAGAAGTCTGCGAAGTTTGTTCAAGACTAAACTAGCTGCACACATTTTGTACAGTCCTGCATATAATATGGGGTTCTTTTAAAATGTCTGCATTATGTGTGTGTGTGTGCGTATTATTTGTTCACAGTTCTTTTTAGCACTGAAATGCCAGCCTGACTTTTGCCAACGAGGCAGAAACGAAGCATCTTGTGCCTCATTGAGTCACATTTAAGTCCACATCCATTTGTCTTCATTATACTCTATTGTCCCCAGACTGTTTCGGCCTGTTCTTGTCCTTGTCATGTACATTTGTTTTGTTTAGTTTTTTTCAGTGTGTTATTGACTTGTTCAACACCTCAGTCTCTGTTTATGTGTGTCATTAAAACCTTTATTAAGTGTACCAGAACTGCTGGCAGACTTGAGGCACATAAAGTGCTGTAGCCGTTTGCAGTTGCTAATCAACAGGCCAAGAACCAAAGGCTTTATTTGTTTAATTTTTACCTGCATTTTTAAATGAATAATAGAACAGCTGTATAGCTTTTCTTTTTCAAGTTGAGCTGTCATGATCTTGGTGTATTTGTTCTGACACTCACCCTCATGCCGGCTTTTATTGCCTAATTCTGTGTATGTGTAAGATTTGTTTCTCCCAACGTACATTGTGTATGGTGAATAAAACCTGTTCCTTAAGTTTGTAAGTGAGCACCACTTATTCTTTGGTTTTACAGCACACACAGCCATTAAATTCACATAAATATTACACAAAACACTCTTTCAAACATTTACATTTCAATCATGACAAAATGCCAAGGGCCTAAACTCAACAACGAGACATTATTTATTTACATGTATGAATTTGTTCATTTGAAATAACTTTAGCTGTCTTTGTGCTGGTTAATCTATATCTCTATGCAACACGTTTTTCAGCATAACTGTTGAAATATTGATGTTTTGCAACCGAGTAATGGCAGTAATTGCTACTTTTTGATGATTGATTTTTGTCTTTTCTTGTAGTGTAACTGACCACACCAGCAAAGATCTCATCTAGTTCTCAGCTTGTCTCGTGGTCAAGCAGCTCCATATTCTGTTCATCTGTGTGCGTGTGCGTTATGTTCATTTGATTTAATACGTCATAAAACGTTGTGAAATGTTACACTTTTCAGAAAGATAGTGGCTTTACTTAATTCACAGATGTGCTTCATGGGATGTAGAACAAAGTTGAAATTTCATGGTCATAATTTTAGTAGACTAAGTATCTGTTAACCTGTAACAAATATAAAAAATTTCCAACAGATTTTGCATACACCCAAGTGATTTATTAGCAATGGTTGTAAAGATACCTTCATTGTATAACGTAATATAGTGTTGCGTGGGATATATATATATATATATTTCTTCCAGTTTTACAATAAAAGATGAGACCAGAACGATTTGCAGTATGTGGCTTTAATAAAAAAATTTAAATCTTTGTTAGAAATAAATATGCTTAGGAAAAAATACAGTAAATTACTTTTACTGAAACAAACATTTCATTCTTCCACAGTATATTTTTTTCTCAGATGTAAGTTATGTATAAATTTCAATTCTATGATTTATTACAAGGTACGCTGAAAATGAGTCCTTCAGGGATTCAAAAAATGCAAGTCAGAGGCTACCGTAACTTTGATAGTCAAAAAAAAGCATATCAGGCAACACAACATTAATAGCCATGGCTCCTGATGATATATTGAGGTCTTACGAAGTAAAACAATCAGTCTGTGCAAGAAACTGAACATTATTTTCTAAATTATTACCTGTAATACAGAGCCACAGGCAAATGGTCCGGAGAGATGACTGGTACACAAACAAATTCTTTTGAATCAGTTCTTTTTAGTGAATTAGTTGAACCAGTTCACCAAATCGGACTGAACATTTTGCAACAGTTCACGGCTCAAGCAGCACAGATCTACAATTTACTCAATCAAAACTCACTTTCAGACGCCTGACAGTCACTCTGACTCTGACTGAAATTAGCCAAGATAGCAGCGCATCTGATCCTGTGACGAATGAACTGATTCAGTGCTCCAGTTTTTCCAACAGTCACTGAACTGAGGAAACAATGAGCCGCTGATATGAGCATGTGTGAACCGAACACTTGAATGAAGGAGCCAAATGAATGTTTTTATGGTTTCTCATCGTTTATGTGAAAAAGGTGAGTTGACAAAGACTAGTTTATTCACTTTATATGCTTTAGACACGTAAAGCAT